GAGCATTAAGCAGCGCTGTGAGATCCAGTGTGAAGCGCTTGAATTCAGCGATGAACACAAATGACTCAGTGATTTAAACTAGTTTAAAGCCAAACAGGAGAAACACTGTGTGCAGTGAGACAGTCAGAAGGCTTTTCAATCTACACATCGCCATCATTTACCATGGATTTACTGTAGTAACACTCACTGCACCATGGTACTGTGGAAGAAATGTGGGATATTCACACTGAATTTTATTACAGGAGTAATGGTATATAATTGTAATATGTGTTTGTGATTAAGCTATAGCATGTGTGCATTTATACTGAATGTTTTTAGACTACTGTTTTTCATACAAATAGGCTACCTAAAAACCATATAGTTATATTTTTACCATGGTATTGAGGTGCTATATGTGTGGTTTTTACTGTGTTTATCATGATTCAAATGTATGCTACTGTGGGAGACCAATGCTTAATAAAAAAAAATAAAAAAAACTTGGTCAGGATAAATTTAACCATATAAAACTGAGGTTGCTACAATTTTTACAGATGTTACTGATTTTGATAATGAACACAAATTTACCTCCGCATCCTAACTCAAGCACTATCAAATGTGCATTTCTAAGAGACAAAAAAAGTGACATTATTATTATTAATATTATCAGGCAACCCAAACCTGTTTCTTGATTTGAAACAATATCACTCATTAGAACATGCAGAAACTAAGAAAATATTTTTTTTATTTAGATATTTCTTTTAAGGAAAATTTATTAGTTTCTACAACTTTCACTTTGGAGAAAAAAATCTGGCTTTAAGCTTGAAAGAAATAAAGATTTGACATTTATCGTGATAATTATCGATATCGACTGATATGAAAAAAATTATCGTGATAATTTTTTTGGCCATATCGCTTAGCCCTACTTTAAATAATGTTATAATTATGAACAGAAAACTTTTAGTGTTTTAGAAACATTTCAAAACAATGTTCCCACAACGTAAATTTGTTACCTGGGAAGACCTGAGCATATTTCTGTCTCTCTCTGTCTGTCTCTCAGAGGCCGTACGACATCCACGCCAGTAACTCGGTGGAGTCTCTGCTGCAGCTGTTCAGTACGGTCAGTGTGCAGTACAGCTCATGCTGGCACAAAGACCTCGTCTCGCTGCTGAGGAAGGTGAGATGAACAGACCATCACGAACATACACAACTAATGCTACAGATGAAGAACGAACAGCCTAGCAACACCCTAGCAACCACCCGTAACATGGTGTCACAGACTTACACAGGCAAACCCCACTCATACATACTTATGACAATGTAAATCTAGTTGGATGTTGCCAAGATGTTCTGGGTGGTTGCCAAGGGGTTGCTAAGGTGTTTTGGTTTACTGACAAGATGCGCGTTAAATATCGCATGCGATTTATCGTGCAGCCCTAGTTGCTATGGTGTTTTGGGTAGTTGCTAGGGTGTTCTGGGTGGTTGCTAATGTGTTCTGATTGTTTTACCACATTGCTCTGCAGTAGCTAGGGTGTTCTGGGGTGGTTGCCTGAACATCTCTATGTGGTTGGTAACATGTTCTGATTGTTTGTGAAATATTTCTCAGTAGTTACTTGAGTATTCTAACTCGTTGCTAGGGTGCTTTGGGTGGTTGCTAGGGTGTTCTGATGGTTGCCATGGCAAATATATGTGGTTGCTAATCTGCTCTGATTGTTTTTAACACATTTCTCTGCATTTACTAGGATGTTATGGCTGGTTGCTAGGGTGTTCTGGGAGGTCAGCAGGCCATTTCTGTGTGGTTGCTAAGGTGTTTTGGGTGGTTGCCAGGATATTTTTGTATGGTTGTTCTGATTTTGCACATTAGTCTGCATTTGCTAGGGGTTCTGTGTGGTTGCTAGGGTGTTCTAACTGATTGCTAGATTGTTTTGGGTGGTTGCTAACATTGTTCTGCGGTAGCTAGGGTGTTCTGGGTGGTTGTTGGGGTATTCTAGGTGGTTGCTAGGGTTTTCTAAGTGGTTGCTAAGGTTTTCTAAGTGGTTGCTAGGTGGTTTTGGGTGGTTGCTAGTGTGTTCTATGTGGTTGCTATTAGGGCTGCACGATAAATCGCAGTTGCTAGGGTGTTCTGGGTGGTTGCTAGGGTATTGTGGGTGGTTGCTATGGTTCCGTGTGTCATTGCTAGGTGAGTTCTTACTGGCCCGAGTCGGAAGAGCCTGTACCTCGACAAACTGCGTTAATAAGGATGAAATGGACAAAAGATTAAAATAGATAGAATGCAGATGGAGTCAGAATGAATGAAGAGAGAATAAAACACTGTAATGATGCAGGAGAGAATAAAGGGACAGATTGTGATGAGCGAGAGAAAGAGGAGGAGATGATAATGAGCTGGAGAGATAATAAAATAAGATGAATGAAGTAAACACTGCAGAGAAAGAAGAAATATTATGAGAGGAGGATGGATATTAGTGAAGAACAGAGGAGCGACGTGAGACATTAAAGTCATTGATTAGAGCTGAGAGTTATGGAGAGATTATACTGTGTGCATGAATCACAGGAGAAGAGCATTGTGGGTCGGATGAATAGATGGACCCACAGGAAGTGTGCTGCTCAGTACTTCCTCTTTCGGCTCTCTATTATATTTCATTTAAGACCTCAGATGTTTCTTAATAGACATATAGACACAAATGAGTCATTAATCTGATTTCATCGCTTAAGATCTCTTACCTTTGTTTGCAGATTTTACTATATCGGCCAGTTTAAGCAAAGTTTGAGACATTGCTGAGATCTCTTCTAAAACTCTCACACATGAGAATGAAATAAAATTAAAAAAAATTATTTTTTTATTTTTTTTATTTTTATTTGAGCTGGTTACCAAGGCATAATTTCTCATTTTTGTTTAGTTTAACTTGATATACTAAAATAATTAAAACTAAAACTGAAATAAAAATGAATAAAAACTATATAGACGTATTAAAAAAAAGTAATAAAAATGGCAAAAACAGAGAATGAAACTGCGGTTTACACTTTATCAGCGGATGACATGTCAAGTCACGTCACCTGCATTTTTATAGTGCTTTATACAATACAGATTGTTTCAAAGCATCTTCACAGTAATTAGCAGAAAAATAGCAGAATCAATTATGCAAGCTTCAAAAATGAGAATTTTGCTCTGAAGCAGCTGTAGCAAGACATTCATTCAGTAGAGTCAGTTCAGTGTTCATTTCAGTTCATGCAGCCATGCAAATCAAAAGCATGTTTTGGAAAAGGATCAAACGTAACATAAAAGAGGACGTTCCCCTGCTAACAAAAATATGTTGTAAGAATGTTTTGCTAACGTTCCATTTAAGTTACGAAAACATTATTTCTGATTGTTCTCAACGTCCAGTTTTTTTTTTTTTTGATGTTTTAAAAAAGTTTTTTGTTTATGCGAACATTAGTAGAACATTCCATTTGATCGTTTTGCAAACACTGGGGGAATGTTACTTTTGAATGTTCTCTAAACATTCTGAAACTTGTAACATTTAAAAAATGTTAGAGGAACGTCCAACTAAAATGTTTCAGAAACAAAAATGTTCCATGAATGATGTGTAATAATGTTTTTGTGCTAATGCTTTGAGAACATTATTAAAAAAACTGAAAACTTGGAATGAACATTCTATTAACGTTACTGGAAGAACATTTGTTAATAATTTTGAGAGAACCTTGCCAAGTTCTGAGAACGTACTCTAATTAGTTAATTTTGCTCCATATATCCTGGTTTACGCAGGAATATGTCACATTACAGTATGTAATTACAGTATACAGTCGAGTGTGGTGTGAATACTTCTGTGAATAGAGATACACACTGATGTTTGTGTGTGAGTGAGAAGTGTGGTTGGTTGGTTTGTTGGACTGTCCTGATGGTGTTCGTCCTGGATGTGCTTGTGTTTTGTGTTTCTGTAGTTATTGACTGTAAACCCAGAGCATCGCTTCTGTAGTCTGGCTCAAATGCAGACGGCGCCCTACCTCTCCGATGTCAACTGGGATGACGTTCATGAGAAGAAGATGGAGCCCGGCTTTGTTCCCAATGTGAGATTGAGTTCAACTGGTGACCGCTCTCACACACGCACACACACACACACACACATATATATATATATACTGTATATACACACACACAAGAATATGAGGGAGAGAAATATTATATTTCAATGCGTTTGCGTACGTTTGGAAATTTCTTACTGGGCAAATGCAAAGTGAACTGCAGACGTTTTGTAAGCAAATGCAAAAGCATTGAAATATAATTTCAATAGTTTGCTTCTTCATGGGAACAGATTTAGAAAAACTGATGCCGTCAGAATGAGAGTCCAAACTAATGTATTTCTTTGAAGCCACCCTGAGATTTGAAGTCAATATTTCAATAATTTAACAACACATGCACATGTGTCCGTTAATTGTCACATGACATGCAGGTGAACATAAAATATTTTATCTTTTTAGTAAGCGTTTTATTTTATTTAAAAAATATTAATTTTAATTTCACATTTATGATTTAATTAATTATTCGTTTTTTATTCTTAGCCATATTTTGGGATTAAATTGTACCCAGAACTAAATTTCTTTCCTCCTTTTGGGGGCATCCTCAAACAGTATAAAAATAAAATAAATATTAGCATTTTTAAAATTATAAAAATGCAGAAAGTTTTCTGTTAGTGTTAGGTTATAGTATTTATAACTAGCTGTATATAGTAGGGTTTCTGCAGGTCTCAAAAAATCTTAAAGGTCTTAATTCGTCCGTCCACAAATTAAAGCCTTAAAAGCTCTTAAATCAGAGTAGAAAGTCTTAAATTCATAAATTCATGGCATTAAATGTTGCACACAATGCAAAAATTTAATAAAGGCCTCCTGAAGCGAATCGATGTGTTTGTGTAAGAAACATATCCATATTTAAAACTTTATAAACCGTAATCTCTAGCTTCCGCTGTCGTACGCGCGTTCATTCCGGCGGATGACGTAAGCGTAGCGTAAGCGCCGGTGAGAATATGCTAGTCTTGCGAGAACCGACGTTTGTTTACAGGAGCAAAATAAGCAGAGTTTCCTCACTTTAGCAAAGTCTCCTCTCGGCTTATATCGATCACCAGAGCTTACGCTGTGCTTACGTCATCCGCCGGAATGAACGCGCGTACGACAGTCAGCGGAAGCTAGAGATTACGGTTTATAAAGTTTTAAATATGGATATGCTTCTTACACAAATGCATTGATTCGCTTCAGGAGGCCATTATTCACCCCAGGAGCCGTGTGAGGCACTTTTTATTACAGATGGATGGATGCGCTTTATTGGACTACTTTTGGACTATTGACGAAAAGCACCCATTCACTGCCATTATAAAGCTTGGAAGACCCAGGATATTTTTAAATATAACTCAGATTGGATTCGTCTAAAAGAAGAAAGTCATGCACACCTAGGATGGCTTGAGGGTGAAGAAATCATGGGCTAATTTTCATTTTTAGGTGAACTATCCCTTTAATCCAGTCAGTTTAGTCATAATAAAAGTGTCCAAATGCACTAAATCCAGCAGAATCGTATGGAAGATTTTTTGTTTTTGTTTTTAAAGAACAAAATCAGAACTGTGAAGATGTAAACTGAGAATTTCTGAGAAAAAAATGTCCAAATTGCAATATGCAAACTTAGAATTTACGATAAAAAAAAAAAGTCTGAATTGCGAGATGTAACCTCAGAAATCATAAACTCGGAAAACACACAATCGCTATATTTTTAAACACTCATTGACGTTTGCATAAAGCTGGTGCATGCAAGTTCATATTAACGAGTTGGGAAGGCCTAATTACGACTTCAGATGCATTCAAATCACTTTTTTTGGAACAAGATGGCAAAATACCTGAACAAGATTTTTTAACTCCATAACATTGTAGAAAGACTGTGCTTTTGCATTGTTTTATTGTGCAGTACTGTGTATTTTGCACATGCAACTTGGTTTTACAGAAAAAAAACAAAACAAAAAAAACATTCATTTGAACAAATTTACTGTCGATACAGACTTTGCATCTGACATTTTTCTAACTGACTTGGAAACTCTGGGCGTGTCGAGTTCCCCATTTGTAAATACAGTTTTATGGTGATGTTTGTGTGTTCAGCTCATGAAAACTTCCTGAAGATCTTGGGCTTGTTCCTGTGCTGTGGTTCAGGTTGAAGCGTCGGCAGGAGGAGGGCTGTATGGCAGCAGACGGAGACGCCGATCCAGACGGAGACGAGGCCGAGGGAGGAACAGAGGACGAGGAGACCGAGGCCGAACCCGAGGCCTCCAAACTGAGCATGTGCGGCTCGGTCTGCTCGTCTCCGGGAAGCTGCTAGCGCCCCCTGCTGTCTCGGAGCTGCTCACCTCGCCTTTAACAGCCCTCGAGATCCCAGCCCTGGCTTCTTTCGTCTCCGTCGCTCCTAGAGTAAATCTGAACTTCTATGCAACGTAACTCTTCAGCATGATGTAAAATAGAGATTTTAGAGGCAATGCTACAATGTAAAACTGTTCGCTTGAGTATGACGAGATCTTCATGTCGAATCCACACACATCGAGCTGCTTGATGAGCAACTGATAACTGACTTAATTGCGTTTGTATGTTTACATATGTGACCTCTTATTGATCATGGAAGCATCTGGTGCCTCTTGAATTCAGGACAGAGTTTCCTGCTTTCGTGTGCTGATAGAAGTCAAACTGCAGGACTAGTTAACAGTATTCGTTATAAAAAAAATATGATCTTAAACACCTTTAAAAGCCGCCTAAGTATTAGAAATGAAGCAGATGTTCTTCTTGCTCTATAAAGTATTTCATGCACTGCAAAAACTGTTTACTTAGTATTTTCGTCTTGTTTTCCAGTACAAATGTCTGAAGATTCTTAAATCAAGATACATTTACATGAGAAGCAAAAAGATATGAAGATATCATCTAGAGGTCGACCGATTTATCGGTTTTGCCGATTAATCGGCTATCGGTTATGGACAAAAATCCATGCCGATAGTTTTCCGGGTTGCGTCCATTGCTGGAGCGGCTGAGACGGGTCTGCTGCCATTATACAGTGCGAGAGCGGCCTCTAGTGGTTGAAATCACTGACAGCACGTGCTATTATTTATCAGTCTGGCGAGTAAACAAAAAAATTTACTAGCCAATGGCGATTCAATTGCCAAGGTGTTCGTAGAGGGCTGTGTATATAATTTTAATGCTATAGCCTTTGTGTATATATTTAAAGATGTGCATCTTTAAGCATGACAGTTGAAATTAAATGGTAACACTTTAAAATAAGAGTCCATTTGTAGCATTAAGATTAATGAAAGCTGTGTAAGTATTGTTCCTTGTTAGAGTGTGTTAATTTCAACATTTACTATTACTATTTATTTTAATTTTTTTACTACTAGTATGGTTCAGTACTGTTTTTGTTAATAAAGCACTATTTTAGTTTTTGTTCAGTATCAATTTTAAAACTATCGGTTAATTAATCGGTATCGGCCAGTGTGGTCCAACCTAGCTATCGGTATCGGCAAAATCCACTATCGGTCGACTTCTAATATCATCAGACATGAAGTCTTGGCGAGTCGTTTGATTTCCTCCAGCACTTTAAAGCAGAAAATCCTCTGTCGAAACAGATCTGGAGAGTCTTTGTTTCGCTTTTCTCCTGAAGAAATGAAAAACACTCAGACTGATCTGTTTACAGTGAGATGAATCGGTTTAATTCTACATGAGGACCATTTCTGCAATGACGTCACTCTTTACTTTAAAGACCTCATGAGTTACTTATTTGCTGTGTGGAAGTAGATGCATGACACTGAAGGGCACATCTCCCTTTTAATGTAAATATCCAGTAGTCTTTAGTTTCTACATGAACCATCAATTACTGCTTACGGTTTAGGAGGAGCTTCATTCTTACCGTATTTACAGCACTGATTGAAACACGTCTGAGTTTATTCTGTCAGCATTTACACTACTGCTCAAAAGATTGGAATAATGATTTTTAAATGTTTTTTAAAAAGAGTCTCTTCTGTTCGGCAGGGCTGCATTTATTTGATCAAAAATACAGTAAAAATTGTGAAATGTTATTAGAATTTAAAACAGCTGTTTTCTATGTGAATATGTGTTAAACTGTAATTTATTTCTGTGATGCGCAGCTGTATTTTCAGCATCATTACTGCAGTCTTCAGTGTCACATGATCTTCAGAAATCATTCTAATATGCTGATTTGCTGCTCAAGAAACATTTCTGATTATTATCAATGTTGAAAACAGTTGTGCTGCACAATATTTCTGTGGAAACTGATGCACTACCAGTCAAAAGTTGTTGTTTTTTTAAAAGAAATTAATCCTTTTATTCATCAAGGCTGCATTAAATTGATCAAAAGTGACAGTAAAGACATTTATAATGTGACAAAAGATTTCTATTTCAAATAAATGCTGTTCTTTTGAACTTTTTTTTTAAACTCCTGACACTGAAGACTGGAGTAATGATGTTGAAAATTCAGCTTTGATCACAGAAATAAATTAAATTTAAACAGATATTCACATAGAAAACAGCTGATTTAAATTCTAATAATATTACTCAATTTTTTTACTGTATTTTTGATCAAATAAATGCAGCCTTGCCGAACAGAAGATAATTATTTTTGATCGGTAGTGTAAGGGAGCCACAAACTCTCATTTTGGCGTGTTTAAGGTCAGAAGTGTTCAGGTCACATCTTCATCACTGTTAGCTGGATGATGAAGATGATGATGATGATGATGATATCTCTAGTATATTTCTCTCTGTATGTCGCAGCTTTAACTCTTCCTGCCCTGCGCTCCACATGTTGCCAAACTCCTTTCTGACTCTTAGACTCTTAAACTCAGTGAAGGTTTGATGAGACGCCGATCCTTCAGCTCTGCTGCTTATGAATCTATATAGGACACCAGATTAAGATTGATTTATAGCTCTCTCTGTGAGTGTGTGAGTGTGTGTGTGTGTGTGTGTGTGTGTGTGTGTGTGTGTGTGTGTGTGTCTGTGTGTGTGTGTGTG